AACCAGTAGCAGAAATTTTGAGTAGTTCGGAGAACCGGTAGCGGAAATTTGGGGTACTTCAGAGAACCAGTAGCAGAAATTTTGAGTAGTTCGGAGAACCGGTAGCGGAAATTTGGGGTACTTCAGAGAACCAGTAGCAGAAATTTTGAGTAGTTCGGAGAACCGGTAGCGGAAATTTGGGGTACTTCAGAGAACCAGTAGCAGAAATTTTGAGTAGTTCGGAGAACCAGCAAACGCCACCTCTGGCTGGCCCCAGAGTGGGAAGGGAATGGGGATTTTGCAGTATCCTTCCCCTGCCACGCCCACCAAGCCACGCCCACAGAACCGGTGGTAAAAAAAATTGAATTTCACCACTGGGATACAGCTGTTTATCTCTCTGTGCCTGTTGATGTCCGTCGTCTCTCAGGGCCAGGCTTCCAGGAATATCGCCCGCACTTTGGGCCTTGGTGTACGGACTATTAGAAACATATGGACTTTTAGAACAGGGGTCTTGCTGAAGAAAGACCCCCAGAGAGGGGGGTGGGGCAGCTTCCAGTCACCAGGATTTGCAGACTATCTGATGCCAGGAAAGCCTTGTAATATTCCAGTTGCTTAGCTACCGGCTGTGCAGAAAGTAATCGATAAGGGGTTGATGGAAGACCTTCATCTATCACTCCACCGCCTTTGCACGCCAAAAAAGTAATTTTGAAAAAGGGTGAGACGTTGAGGCGGAGAACCCGAGGCCCTCAGGCCTGGCGCTCAGAGGATTTTCTCCAAGGGAATGGAGCCGTGGGGAAATCCAATTTTTTTTACTACTGGTTCTGTGGGCGTGGCCTGGTGGGTGTGCTGTGATTTGGTGGGCGTGGCAAGGGAAGGATTTTGCAAAATCCCAATTCCCTCCCCACTCCGGGGCCAGCCAGAGGTGGCATTTGCCGGTTCTCCAAACTACTCAAAATTTCTGCTACCGGTTCTCCAGAACACGCTGAATTTCACTACGGCTGCCTGGGCGATTCTGGGAGTTGAAGTCCTCAAGTCTTAAAAGTTGCCACGTTTGGAGATTCCCTGCTGACTGGGGGATTCTGGGAAATGAAGCCCACAACTCTTAAAAGTCGCCAGGTGCGGAAACTGCTGGAATAGACCACCAGTTTTCTTCCGCACACTGCTTCGCCTTCAGACCGGGACATGCGCCCTTCCCGCACGCAATTTTCTTCAAGGGTTTCAAAGGAAATAGTAATGGCTGGCCACCCCCCCAAGGGGACGGCAGGGGGCTGATGAATCCGTGGGGTGGGAGAGGGAGCGAGAGAGACGGAAGGACGTCTATGGCACAGCGGTGGGGTCTCCAAGTCCGCTAACGAGGCAATCAAGGAGCCATCAGGAGCCGGAATGGCGGGAGAAGGGGACGCTGCACACTCCTGACGACGGGGTCGTGCTGCAGTACGGGTGGCAGGGGAGGTGCGTTCGAGCAGCCAGCAGAGGAGAAAGTGGCACCGGACTTACAAGGAAGCGCTAGTCCTCAATTTACGAGCCCACAATTTATGTCACTAAGCGAGACAGTTGCTAAGTGAGTTTGGATCCATTTTTCAACCTTGCCACAGTTGTTAAGTGAATCATTGCAGGTGTTAAGTGAGTAACATGGATGTGTTACTAACTTAACTCTTACAAGACCCAATATATACTGTACTAGCTGGATACCCGTGCTTTGCGACAAAACTATGTGATCGGGCTACGCAGGAGAAATTTAGTTCAAAATCCGTTGGCTCAGTGGTCGCCGGTGATTGGAACACGTAAGGGGATATCACTCCCGCCGCCTTGAGTCTGGAAGCCGTTCCATAAGTGGAAGGCGTAGACATTGTGGTGAGGTACCGACGTTTAGTACTGTAAGGAGCCCCAGACCCCTCCANAAATTGCAGACTACAGGAACCATTTGCACCACTGAGGGGACCCTGAGGACACAGATAAAACCTCCAAGTGGCCTCAAGGACCCTCTCAAAGGATGCAAAGGACCAGCTGTCTGCAAGGACTATAAATCCTTCCATCCTCCACCATCCAGTCAGAGCTGAAGAAGCTTCTGGGATGAGAAGAGAAACGTTTTTAAAAGAAAAAACAAGGAAGTCCAGTTGCCTCTTGGGAAAAAATTACCTTTGGAACAGGAGGACATGAATGACGGAGAACCTCCAGAAACTTCCATTTTGTGCTGCCGTCCCTAACCGAAACGTCTTCTCTTGCAGGCCATCCCTTCCGCTGGTGCCTCCGTTTCCCTCGTGGGCGTCCTTTCCTCCACCCAGAACAACCGCTGCCTCTCTGCTCCGGACCTGACGGCCGAGAAGCGCCTGGTCTCCCACCAGGCGCCCTCTTCGTTCCCCGCCCTGCCCGGGCAGGAGCGGTCCATCAGCCCCGAGAGCAACGACAGCATCTCCGAGGAGCTGAACCATTTCAAGCCCATCGTCTGCTCGCCCTGCACGCCTCCCAAGCAGCTGCCGGACGGGCGCGTGCTCAGCCCCCTCATCATCAAGTCCACCCCCAGGAACCTGACCAGGAGCCTGCAGAAGCCCACCACGTACGAAGCCAGCCCTCGCATCCTGAAGAAGTGGGAACAGATCCTCGAGGAACGTCAGGTCAAAAAGACCCTCTCCAAGGCGACCTTGACCTGCTCGGTTCCCGAGCCGGGCGAAGATTTTCCGCCTCCGAACCTCAACGTCCCCCTCAAGTGTCCTCGGCAGATGTCCAGCGATGTCACCTTGCCGGACCCTCTCCCTTCCCCCTCTTTAGCAAAGCTGGGCAGTTCCGCAAACGCTCATAGAGACTCGGAGGCTATGCAGCTGACCCCCAAGGTCCTCCCGCCAAGACTCGCCGAGAAACCCCCCAATTCCAGGATTCCCGAGCTCCCGGAAGCAAAATCGGCGCCGCGTCTGGCTGGGCCGTGCCTTCACTTCGATGCCAAAACGATTCCCCGGAAAGTCGTCCGAGTGAAGCCGGCCTCAGAGAACGGCGCACTCGGGAATCCGGCCGAGCGGAAGCCGCGCAGATACTGGGACGAGAGTGAACTGCGCCGCCTCTCTAATGGCCTCCGTCTCGAGAGGGGGCTCGGCGAGGAGACCCCCTCTCTGCGGCGCGGACAAAAGCGGCCGTGCAAAACCAAGCACCTGGACCCTTCAGTCAAGCGGCTGAGGCCGTCGGCGGGCTGTCGCAAGGGCCCTCCGGCGTCCGACCCGCTGAGACGGCAGAGACGACGGCAGCGTGGCAGGACTGAGCAGCGACTACAACAGGAGGAGGCCGACCGACGGCTGGCCGTGCAACTCCAGCGGCAGTTTGAGAGGGAGATCCGGACAGTGGAGAGGCCGAAGGGGCGAGCCGATCAGTATTTCTTGCGGTCTAAGAACGCTGCTAGGGCAAAGTAACCGATGTTCGCAAATGAAGCGGCTTTTTTCGAGATTTCCCCTGGAGACGTCGCTTGTCAGCCTGGCAGAGTTCTTCCGGGGAGCAGGAGTTCTCTCTGGTCAGTGCGGGAGCCGGAAGGAGGCTAAAGTCCAGAGCTTTCTGCCCCCCCCCCTCCTCCCCAAGCTGACTCTGAGATTATCAATCTCTCTCGCAGCGAAGGCCTCTTCGTCTGTTCGTGTCCGGAGTTCGGACTTGCTCTTGCGGCCTCGGGATCCGAGTCGTTACGATAACGGGAGTCGAAACGATGCTTCGAGGGGCATTTCTAATTTGAGGAGCAGCCCTGCGTGGCTAGGAAGGCCCGATGGGAGAATGGCAGCTCTGCAATAAAATATATCTGAATCTATAAATACAGGTGGTCCTCGACTTACGACAGGTTGTTTAGTGACCGTTCAGAGTTACAACGTGTCCGGGAAAAAGCGACTCGGGATCGTTTATCACACTTAACGACCGTTGCAGCATCCCCGTGGTCACATGATCAAAATTGAGACGCTGTCGCGACCGACTCTTGTTTATGACGGTCGCGGTGTCCCTGGGGGAGTCACATGATCCACTTTTGTGACCTGACAAACCAAAGTCAATGGGGGAGCCAGATTCTCTTAACAACCGTGTAACTAACTTAACGGTAATGATTCACTTAACAACAGTGACAAGAAAGGTCGCAACATGGAGCAGAATTAACTGAACAACTGTCTCGGTAACAACATCTACTGTGGATCGTAAGGCGAGAACCACCTGTATTTAAATCGATTAATATATGGTTAAATCTACAGAAGAACGAAAGGGGGACTTGCTTGCTTTGAGTCCAAACTGACCACCGTGGGCCAGCGAGACCCTTTGGCTGCCCGGTGTGGGGTATTTCTCCCCCCA